TCTCTCATCAAACAATACGTAAACATCTAAGGAATATGGGAAAACTCCATAAAGTAGGTGTTTGAGTGCCTCTCATCAAACAATACGTAAACATCTAAGGAATATGGGAAAACTCCATAAAGTAGGTGTTTGAGTGCCTCTCATCAAACAATACGTAAACATCTAAGGAATATGGGAAAACTCCATAAAGTAGGTGTTTGAGTGCCTCATGAACTCTATCATGATCATTGTTTCCAATGTATGGACGTTGCTTTGTCTGTTCTGGGTTTCCAATGTATGGACGTTGCTTTGTCTGTTCTGGCGCTTAATGCGCGCGAACAACTTTTGGACAGAATTGTCACCGGTGATGAAAAATGGATTCTCCATGCGAATATTAAAATCCCAAAACAATGGCTCAGTCCTAGACAAAAACCACTTACGACCTCAAAACCTGGACTCCATCCACAGAAAGTGCATTTGGTGGGACATCAAAGGAGTAATTCCTTTCGAACTCCTCAATCCACAGCGAATTGTCAATGCGGAGATCTATAGTCAGCGACTGGAACGTTTAAATCAAGCCCTTCATCAGAATCACTTGTCAATCGGAAAGGTGTTCTTTTCCTCCACGACAATCGACATGTTTTTTGCTTCAAAGCCAAGTGATTTCTTTAATCAGGGAATTAACAACCTGACTGTAAGATGGAAAAGCATCATTGATAACAGTGGAGACTATTTCATTTAATAAATTTTTTGTTTTGATATATAAGTTGTTCGGGTTATCTCATCTACAAAAAGGCGACATTAACTTCTTTACGACCTAATACTTTCAGTGAACTCATATTTCTTAAGAATAGTGGATGGTACCTCAATAGGCTCAACTATTTTTCTTGTAGCTAGTGAACACTACATGCCACGTTTTCAAACAACAGTTACATTTCACACCTTCCCCCATCTCCCACCATTACTTCAATACTTTGACGATGTTCTTCTTTCATTGCAATATCGAAGGAAACAACAAACCATTCTGAACCGTATTTAAACAACCTGTACGAATACATATGTAACTTACCATGCAAATAAAAAAAAACAAATCCTTACACTTTCTAAATGTATTACTCATAAAGAATACTAGTGACTACGATATAAAAACAGCTGCACATTGGAAAAAGTAACCCATACAGTTGCGTATATACAGGTGGGACATTCGGGGTAGATTTCCAGGGGCTCTTTTGGCCTACTTATGAGATACAAAAATTCCTTTTTTGCTTAAAATTCATCCGAGGATATTTAGTCGCATCTCGTATAGGCCCACCAAATTATACCTTATGGGATCTAAGGTCCCGCCACATAACTGCATTTATTGAAAGGCCCACCTGTGGCCAGAGCGGAAGTGGTAAACTACGGGCCTCCCATATTCTCACCGTAATATTATATGAAACAATCAGAAAAATGGTTTTGTTTTCAAATAAAAGTGCAAATATTTTTGTTCAGTGTCTTCATAAACATATGTATTCCTCTAAATCCACACGAGAAAAGTGTATAATATATATAAACCTCAAATCCTGCCATCCTGTTCCGATAAAGAGTAAACTTTATCAAACATTAACACATGTGGGGTAGAAAGAATATGTTGTAACAAATAAGTTGAAACAAAGCTAAATAACTTGAACATTTGTTTATTAATAACACTACCTCTATCAAGCAATTAATATAAAAACGAACGCCTGTTACATTAGCGAACTCATCCATTAACCATTATGAAAAGCATAAAATCGTTTTACCATATACAGAGGCTTGAGTACGTTATATTAAAATGATTTTGAATAAGCAAGTTATGAAATCATGTGACATACACAGCCGATATGTATCAGAACTTCAGTTGGACGTTGTTTGGCATTATCTAGATAGTGTGATGCCAACAAAAATATATCGCTTTTGGAAAGGGAATGTAACAGCCTTTTCCTATGCAAAATATTCATATACTCAATTCACAAAGATATGTTCAGATTGGAGATTTAAAATTCCCAAGATGGGGATATTCCTTTAACGTTATGGAATTGGAAAACACAGGAATATGGATCAACTTGAGAGCCAGGATCACTCAGAAAGAGACCTGCAATAAGTCATACCCCAAACATGGTAAGCATTTTATGATGGGAGAAAATCCACGAACACAAAGATCAGAAACAAAAGCCGTCCTCGTATATCATAGAAAAAGTGCTCAACATAATCGAGAAGGATCTCTATCTAGAAAGAGGACATAAATAACATGTACACGAGTTGCTTCCACGACATATCTGTTCAACCGTCGCATACCTCATACAGTTGAAGAATGAAACGGATATCCGTGCTATTCCATACAAGGACATATCGGTCAAATCGTTAAATGCAGCACATTTAGAATTCTGTGTGATTGGACTGTTGAAACATGCATTTGGAAACATTTGTCCTTCTACACTAAATAGATTATGGAAAGC